CTAGCTCCCTTTCAGTTATTAGCTACTTTCACAGTTTCGTGCTCTTAGCAAGGCATCCTCTGCCTAGTGAGACTATCGCTCCCTACTTTGGCCCAAATTCCTTTATTTTTAAGGATTTATTTATTTATGCATACAAGAACTGGGGTACAGGACAGAGTTGTGGGGGGTGAAGGTGAGAGGATTCACCAGAGACAGAATGGGGAACAGAACAGGCAGGTTCACTGAAATACACTGCTGAGGGGAGCAGTGGATGAGTCAGGAGAGGTCTACTGCACCATGTGGGTAGCTCCCTGGCCAGGGATTGAACTTGTGCTGCAGTGGCTGCAAATAGCTCCATAGGTTGTGTCTTAATCCCTTGTGCCACTGGAGAGGCCCTGGCCCAAATTTCTGTTGGGAAAAATGACCCCTAGGAAAAATCTATATGAATGGGTTCCTAATATGCATCCTCTTACACAAAGACTGTAGCTCCAACTTGGTTGTACTCATAACTAAAAATGTTGTATTTAAAATTGTGCAGGTTATTCTGTGGTAGAAGGGAAGGTATGCTATCCTTACTCTTAGCTATCTGTCCATAGCTTAAGTCTCATTTAATAATTTCCCTCTTAAATATAATTTGATAAATCTGTTAAGTAGGGCGCCAAGCTCAGAATACCAGCACAAATTCACTTACCAAGACTTGGGGCAACTTTGTCCAAAGCTACAGCTTTCAGTTTGTTTCATATTAACATATGAATTTATCCTGTCTTGAAAGATAATGAGAAGATTGCCTATAATCAGGAAAGTTCAAAAGTAATATTTTAATGGCTATTCACAAAGAAAAACATGGCTTGGTAAGACATCTTTATTAAATTGGATTATTTTCTTTTCTGGGGAATGATTTATCTCATGGTTTTCTCTAGAATACTGCCAGGGATTACATAGATACTAGAATCTACCTTTTCTTTTTTTTTTTTGGTGGGGAGGATCACTCGAGCATCTGCTGTCACACACCAGGAGCCATCTGGCTTCCTGGCTTTCTCCGGCTGTGGTCTCAGTCCACAAGCTACACACCGCATCCACCCCCAGGATGCACTCACTCTTGGATCAGCGATCCTGTACTCTTTGGGGGTAGTCGCCCAATCCTCAGGGTTTCTGTCTGCAGTGGCTCCAACACTCGGCTTTCATAGCCACCAATGCGATACGCAGACCCCTGCACTCAGGCCAACCCTTTGCACAAGCACATGGGTCAGGGATCCGTAGATACAAGCTCCACATGCGGCCACTCTTGGGTCCCCTCTTTGGCTGTGGGCTCCACCACAAGCCAGGTTCCCCAGCCGTCCCCCAAGGACAGGTTCCTCAGCTCCTCACTCTCACTCAGCAATGAGCAGGGCATCACCTACAGGTGATTTTAAGACTCACTGGCCTTCCTTAGCATACGTAGGCTGTTTAACAGCTGCTCAGGCCTTCCCAATCTCAGCACCAGCTTTTGCCTTTCTAAGTTGGCTTTTCCTCTGCCTGGCTGCAGAGAACTTGGAGAGGACTTCCTCCCTCAGCCTCTTGGGCTCTTCTCATGCCTGCCCCTTCCTCTACTCTGGCCACTGCCTCTCTGGGCTGTGGCCCTAGGATTGCTGGGCAGTGCACAGGCTGCTTTTGGCCACCGAGGCCCACTGGCCACCCCCAGATTCCCATCTCCTGGGGTGTACAAACAATACCATCCTCCCCCCAGGGTCCCCACAACATAACATTACCCTGCCAAAGTCCCTCCGCCTTCTGGCGGGATTGTCAGTCCAAGTCCATCCGTTGTTCTTTGTGCCAGCACTGGCGAGCTCTGAATTGTGGTCCTTTCTCCCCCGAAGATTCTGCTGCCTCCGGGGTCATGGGCTGGTCCTTGCAGGCCTTCTCCTCCTCCACTTGCGGTCTCACCCCGCAGCTCCCAGGCCTTATCCACCTCCTGTGCTCCTGCAGCGTCTTTAGCTCTTCCCGCAGCTCCTGGACTTTGGTCACCTCCTGGGCTGCCACTGCGCATCCAGCGTTGTCACAGGCAAACACAGTCTGCTCCTCCTCAGGCCCTCCTGACATCTTCAGAGGACTCCATACCCGTCTGCATTGAATTATCTTGCCGACTTACGCCAATTGTAGGGGCAGGAAGGCCACAGAGCAGGATATCTATGATTCGAGCAGACGGGGTAAAGGAGAGTCCTGGAGACCTTGGTGGATTTCTCAGGCTTTTATAGAACTTTTACATGTAGTGCAGCAACCAGGTACACAGCAGGCAGGGGTGCCAGGGGGGCCAGGAGGTCAGCAGGCCTTCAAGCCCCAGGCAAGTTTTCACTCTGGGCTTCTCTGGCCTCTTTCTCTCCTTCTCTCTCCTGTCTGTCTCTCCTGTGTCTCCTTCTCTTGGCAAATATCTCAATGCTGAGCCATGGTCCTCAGAAGTAAACAGCACAGCTTACAACAATATAACAACTGCGGGTGCCCCATCAGGCAGGGCAATCCTAACCCTTTGCACTCCGCTGTCTCCTCTCAGGGGACACGGGAATTCTAGCATATCACTCAGATGTCCCCTCTCAGGGGACATTGCAATTTATTAGTGATTACAGGGAATTGAGGTTATTTCAACGCAACTTTTTGAGACATGCATGTTTCCCTGAAGTTTTATCTTGAAATGGCACAAGAAATTAAATCAAAATATCGTAAAATGGTTTGGAGTGCAAAGGGCTAATGGTGGGAGGGCAGAAAAGCCTGAAAACCACTTTACCCTACAGATCATTACAGTATTTGAATGTAGTTCACCCAAGAATGGCTAATTAAATTATGTAAATGCCCACATGCTTTCTCACTAGTTTTTTATCTCCTATTACAGCTTTAATTCCCTCTAAGCAATATTTAATCTCCTCTCTCCTACAGATTGTTATATCTAGAAGAGAATATAATCTCAAAGGAATTTGTATACTTATATTTCTCTCTTTTTTTTTCTTAAAGATTGATTGATTGATTGATTGATTGATTTATACAGGCACTGGGTACAGTCAGAAGCGCAGGAGGGTGAGAGAATTCACCAGAGCCAGAGCGGGGAGCAGAGCAGGCAGAAGGACCGAAGTACACTGCTGAGGGGAGCAGCGGGCGGCAGGGGAGGTCTGTGCGCCATGTGGGACCCTCCTCCGGTGGCCGGGGAGCAGCCGGGGATCGAACCGGCGCCGCAGAGGCCGCGGGCAGCTTCGCAACCCAGCGCTCAACCGCTGCGCCACCGGGGAGGCCCCTATATTTCTCTCTTAACATTAATTATTTTCTCAAAGAAGAGTTCTGTTACTGTTATTATTTTTTTTTTGCTCCAAATAGAATTAACAAAAACATTTTACTTCTTTTAATATTGTTAAATTTTTCATGACATATTGGGCTCTAACTTCTTGTTTCTTTTTTCAGTTACCCATATTGTCTTCGTACTTCCTTATGGAAGTCTCCTTTTAAAACTTTAAAGTTTTTTGTTGGTGGTGGTACCATTCTTTTTTTCTTCCATATTTTATTTTATTTGATTGCAAAGTGTATAACAGAACATTTAACAAAAATGTTAATGAATTTTTAGCCTCCATATAGTCAATGCCAATACTTGATGAACACACTGCATGCTAATTTAGAGCCTCAGATACAGATACCAAGAGGCTCTCCACAAAAACTTTTGTGGAGAGCCCCTTGGTATCTGAAACTTGGTGGTGGTGGCGGAGGAATGGGTCGGGAGGGGGGTTGGGGGGGGCGGCGGGCGGGGAGCGTTCCATTTTTTTGTTATTGAATTAGGGGAGAGTAACATAGTAAGAAGTTAATTTTCTCTTCCTCTTCCCCTCCCTCTTCTCCTTTAAGCTTCTCATTGCTCTTGAGTTAACTATGCAAATATAAAAACTTGGTTAGCAAGATCAGTACTTTATTTTCTGATTCAAAAACAAGACATGTGTATCCCTGTCTTCTTCATGCATTATTGTCTCATTTACTCCCAAGCTATTAAGCAGAGAAAAAGCTATGATGTTCTCGATTTCTACAAGTTTTGCACGAAGACTCTCATTTAAAGGTCAAAAATTAAATGCTGCTCCCTAGGGGGGGTGGGAAGAAATGTAAACGAGCTTGGGGTTCTTTGTTTGACAATCTGTACTCAACAACCGGCTTCCTTCGAATCCTTCTTAACTGTCCGAGCAGGATTTAGAACCCAACACAACACAACCGACTGGCGAACAAAAATCTGTCCTGGAAGCACCGGGGGGAGCACCATTTTGGGGTACGCGTAGCTGGACTGGGGCTGCGTGGCTACACCCCTCCACCCACCGGGCGCACTCCCTGGAAAAGACGCCTGGCTTTGCACAGCTGCGCTTCTCGCCCCTGCAGGCGCAAAGCACTCAGCGGAGCCGGCACGCGGGAGCCGAGCGCAGCGCCCCCGCGCCACTGGGCATGCTCGGAAGCCGGGCGGTTCGGTCCCAAGCAGGCAGCTCGAGCATTACAGCAGCGCTCGGGGCCCGGGAGGAGGAGCAGAGCGGGAAGGGGAGGCGGAGCGGCCAGCAGTAGCCACGACCGCCACCACCAGGCAGTGGAAGAGTTAGTGGGAAGGGAAAGACCCTCCTTCCACTTGGAGCGCCCTGCGCCTGCTTTTGGTAAAAGAGACTATAAGGCAAAGGAGAGACTGAAAGAAGAAGAAGAAGAAGAAGAAAAGAGTGAGGGGGACATAGAAAAAAGAAAGGGAAGAAAAAAAGGACGGAGAGGGCCGGAGCGTGCCGGGAGCCCGCGGTGCGGGGGCGGCCGTGCGGAGCCGGGAGCGCTGCGCTTGGGCAGGTGCCGCGGCCGCTGCCCGGAGGCGGCATGTGACGCGCGCGGCCACAGCTGCCCGCGGGCGGAGCGCTCTCGAGCCCGGGAGCGCACACCGGGGGGCAAGTCGGTGCAATCCAGGAGCCCCACGCGCCTCGTCAGTGCCTGGGGCTGCAGCAGCGCTTCTGGAAAGACAGGCGGGAGACCGAAGGGCGGCTCCGGGCATGGGCACGCGCTAGGACACTCGCTCCCCGCACGCCGAGCCGGAGGAGACGCAGGGGGCAGTGGGCCGGGCGTCCCCAGCGCATCCGGGAGGCGCGGACGGCCGGCGTGGGACGGCCACCTGGAGCGCAGCTGCCAGGTAAGGAAGGCGCCCGCCACCCCGGCGCTGAGCGAAGCGGGTGGCGGTAGCGGCTGACCTGGTTTCCTGCCTTATCACGTTGCAAAAGGAGGAAAAAGTTTTCTGCGCGGGTCGGGTAGGAAATGTCTTTGCTTGGGGGACTTTAAGGAGGGTGCTGGGGAGGGACGGAAGAGCTCCCGTGTGTTTGAGGGGAGCGGGGGAAGGGACTTGAACCTGGAGACCGCGAGCTGGTGCGGAGTTGACACGGTGGGACCGAGGTGGGAATGCCGGAGTGGCACCAAGTGCAGGGAAAGCGACCCAATAATGGGAGCTGTGGCCGGGAGAGGGATTGGGTCGCCCCACCCTGCTCTCCTTTGCTCAGATTCCCTTTCCCCAATGCCGAACGAATGTCGGATGCGGGGCACGGAGTGTTGGGACCCGAGCGGCTACTCGGCTCGGTGTGGGTTTGTGTGCGCCCCTGTGTGTTGTGCATATGTGGATCCCCCCACCCCCGTTTGGTTTTCTAAGGTTTTTAAGAAGGCTAAAAGTGGCACCCACAAACCTCGCAGCGGGGCCGCTTGTCGGGATTGCATTTCGGGGGTGGGGGAGGAGAGGCAATTTTGGCACTTCTAGTAACACCTGCGCGAAGGTATACACTGACCCAGGGACAGGGTGCTCTTGCCGAGGGCGTCCCCTGAGCTGAGCCGGATCTCTCCTTCCCCCAACAGAACCTTTTTACAGCTGGGTTGATTTCTGCCTGTTTTTCAGTGGTGGGGGTAGGGGGACAGTTGGCTGCAACAGCAGAATTCACTTGTCTACTTAGCGCTGTGCGTGTTGGAATTGCGATCCGGTTCTGAGTGCATATGCGTGTGTGCGACTCTCCGAGCACGCAGGTTGAAAGTGGTGGAGGAAGCAGGGGTTTGGGAATTGCATCCATATGGACAGATTTCAAGAATGCAAACATTCATTTGTCTGCAAGTGTTATTTGAACCAGTCCGATGGCTGTAAGGATATGTTTTCTTTCCGCTGTCCGTGTTTGCAGTGTGAAAGGATGGCTCTCCTTAGGAGGTAAATGTATTTATTGAAGCGTTTATGTTGTTAAGGACACTGGGGTTTTTTTGTGTTTTTTTTTTTTTTCTTTTCTCTTTTTCACTGCATGCTTTGCACAGACCTTTCTTTTCTCTCTTGGCCTCTGAGTTCTAACAAGGTAAATACTTAATCCCCCATTTTGGGGGTTTTAGCTCTTACTATTTGAAAAACAATTTTAAAAAGTGTGTTTGTTGATAATGTCGTCCCCCCAAAAAAAATTATATTGTGAGGTCATTATATTGCACGAACCATTCATCGCTATTTCCTGGGTTTAAAACAATGCCCCAGAATTTACTTGTGAGCCCTGCACTTAGTAAACGGGAGACCTGAACCTAGAACAAATTTATATATATTGTTAGGATTTGATAGTAGCATAATAACTGAAAACATCTGAAGTCTTTCTCGTCCAAATGTGGTGGGATAGATATGGCGTTGGGTGCTCCCTCTTGTTATAGGAGCTGGTATTGCGAAGTCTACATGGAACATGCCTGTCTCTCCCGTGTGCATTCCACATGCCACAGAAATGTGGTTTAGATCAAACACTCCCACCACCCAGTAACCTATCTGTGGATTTGTTTACTTGATTTGTCTCAATTAACCGAATATGTAACTAGCTATTGTTGAACTGGAAAGCACGTAATTTTCGAAATGAGTTTCCATATGGAAATATAAATTTAGCTTAAATTACTAATTTAAAATAAATTACATTGCAGGTCCGATTTCTGTTAACTGGGGGACATGCTATAAGATTGGATTTAACATGAAAATAGAAGTTTGAAATACTGTTTTTTCAGTATCAGCAAATATGTATCAAATGGACTTGAGATATTTAAAATAGGAAATGAGATAAAAGTTGATTTTGAAACACACATCGACAGTGTAAATCTTTTTTGTGATAAATTATCAGAAAAGTGTATTTGGGAAAAGGGAAGACATGTACGTGGAAATGATAAAAATTTACAGAAAGATTGAATGCTGTAATAAGATTAGTTCTTCATTAAACCTACATTTAAACTTGCTTCGGAAACTTTTCTTTAAATTTTAGAGAAATGTATGAATATATGTTCCCTCATTTTTCTTCCTGGGGAAAAAAGTGAAATATTATTTCGAAAGTTGTTTATTTCTGAAGATTATTTAGGCTTTTTTAATTCTTTAGGGCTCATCTTTCATTTTCTAATTAGAAAGACAGATTTCTTATTTTAAAAAATGAAACTTGTTTGTCATATTCAATTAGAGTATATAAAATTGTGAACTTCTTTTAATGCTGTTTTAGCTTTTTTTAATGGCTGGCAACCTGTTGAAAATAAGCCTGGAGGAAAAAAATGTGAAATTCAAAGAACTACAATTTCTTGGCTCCACACCAGTAAATTGGGTAGACAGTACATTAAACGATATGATTTAAAGCTGACTTAACTTGGGGGATTGAAAATTGCAAGTAAATATATTTTTCAATTTTTTATCTAAAAGTTCCCCTCCTCTCATTTCCAGAACCAACATATTAATTGGCCTTACCTAGTGACTTGTTAACATTAGCAAAATTAGTTGGTTAGTCCTAAATGTCCTGGACGTTGTCAGTGTAACTATTAAGAAACTGGGTCTTGTTTGCAGTGCGGAGAAGTTTATATTGAGAACAGCTGTGGTGTAGTGGCACTTCAGATAGGAGATGAATGAACTGTGAATCATATGAAGATGGAGTCTGATCAGTATGCAGAGTGATGCATCGTCCTTTGCTTATGGAACCTAATTTTACATCCTAATATATTATGACTAATAGCTCTATCCTCGCATTGTGGTTTTGAAGTACCAGGGACTAACTGGAAATGTTATATTCTATGCAATATGTTTGTGAATTTCAAATACATTTTTCTTACAGAAGAATATAAAAAAGGCATATATGGCCACAATTAAAAAATGATCAAATCCCTCCACCAGGGTTATTTACAAGAAAAGATGATCAACATAATAAAATGTGCTTTATGCTTAATCCTAGAATGCAGTGCTCTCCTAGATATGATGGTGGTGAAACCTTACACATGCTCTTTCACCCATCCACCCATCTCATTTAGTCCAGGAGAATCCCTCTCCTGGTAATTAGTCTTAAGAGAACTTTGAGATAGATATCAACCTCAACAGAACGTTGTTATTTTAGGGGACAAATACGAAGAGATCATCTAATGAATTTGACTGATGGCTGGGCCTGTCAAAGTGGAAGTTAACGTCTCCTATCTCACGGGTTTTCCACTAAGGAAGTGGTCCTTCTTCAGATCCAATTCAGAGTAGACTATGAATCCTGCACTTCTCATTCACCAGCTTTCCACAGAGAGGCTGTGCTGGCACACAAGGTGTTACCTTTTTAGTTGTAAATCCAGTATTTTTGTGGAGGGGAAGGCGCAGTTAAGCTTCTATATTCCCTAAAAGTTGCATATACTAAATTAGAATTGTCTTCAAGGTTAGACACAAGAACACTTTTGTTGCAGTGAAGCTGTTGAAAATATGAACCCACTGTGGGTCTTGTTTGAATACTCTTCCCTCCTTAAAGCATTGCTATCCTGGGATTCATACAGAGATGCTAGTGTTTGCCCTGTCTGAGATACTGGAGGTTGCCCAATTTTAATTGCAGAGTAGTCTTGAGGGTCAAAAAACATGGTACATGTGGAAGTACTCTTTGAACAATTTTTAATACAGGGCCAAATGCAGTACATTATTTGGACCTTACGGTTACCTTAATATTCCTTGATGTGGGCACAGAGAACCAGGGTGTAGGTGTCCCCCTGGCTCTGTAGTTGGTGGCCGTATATTCCTTTTTTGTCCAGAGGTTTTGGTAACTTGCAGATTTCCCAGCCTCCAGCAGTCTCTCCCCTTGCCAGTTTGTTCTCCCACCTGTCAGAACTTCCTGTTCATGCACTCCCAAGGGCCAGGTACTCTGTCTGGTTTACACCTTCTTAGACTTCCTCAGCCGAGTCTGCAGTTGCAGCTGCCACATTGACACAGGCCCGGGATCTACAAAGAATTTTGAGCCACTCCATTCTTCTTACCAATTTTGCCAGCTCATCCTGAAGCAGCTAGAATAGGAACACTTTGGGGAGACATAATGATGGAAAAGATGACTGCATATGATTAGAGACACAGTAGCTGACACACACGGGAGGGCTTTGAGCTCTTGCCTTTCTCAGCCCTGCTGTGCATGAGACTCTGGGACTAGAATTCTGCTTCCTCCACCAGTGAAGACTACAGACAAAAGGAGTCTGAGGTTTTGCCCTCGCCAAGTGAGCTTTCGCGAATCCCATTCCCAGCAAGCCCCGGGTTCTTTAACTCTTGTCATATTTGTCGTTTCATAAGATGAGCCTTCTGCCTTGTTTTCACTTAAGCTTTTTTAGTTCTAAACAAAAGTCTTGCCTGGAAAGACTTTTGCTATGACCTTGACAGTTAACTTTGCACTTGCAAGAATTTCTCTCCAGGGGCAAGATCCATTCTTTCTTTTCTTAATCTCTGATGCAACCCTGAAGTGGAAGATCCCCCAGGTCTGAGGCACAGCCACCCTTGTGACAGTGTATCATTTCTGCCTAGAGACTTGTTTGTCAAGTTCCACTTAACAAATAAATCCCTTTGTCTGTCATTGTTGGACAGATCAAATCTCAGAACTCCGCACTCCTTCTGACCTCTGTAATTTGAGTTGCTGACTTTCCACTACAGAATTTATCCTTTATTGGGAGATTTGTTCTATCCTAGCCCTAGACTATTTCCTGTCCCCAGTGTCCCCTTGAAATCTGGCATACCGGCTGAGTCATGACTTATTCTACCTTCAGTCACCTCTACTGCAGGAAGTGGTGCTGGTATGGATACCCAGAGTCAGGCAGGATATCCTTCAACTACTGCTTTTCAGCTAAAAGTCAGGTGAGGTGAAGCCAAAGTAAAATATTACTAGCCTGTTT